GTCCTAATATCTGGGGCAGATTGGTTAATGAAATACATGCTAAGGATTGCTGCCCCTTCTGTAGAGTCAGGATCTAAATTTGTATACTTTTTAATGCCTTCTACTAGCCTATCTTGGAAAAGGACAGGGTTTTCCTTTTCTTCCTGAGTAATTCCCTTAAACTTTTTGAAAGTTTACTTGCTTTTGAAATGCTGTTTTCAGGCCTTCTAACAGGTAAGTTATCATGTAGTCCCTCTTTCCCCTATCCTCCCTCTTCTGATAACCCCACCCCGGATCACTAGCAGGAAGAGCAGCTGTTCCTGGGGGGGGTATTTTGTGGCATGATTGCTAGCCAAATGGTCCCCCAAATTTTGCGCTTGTTCCCAGATTCTCTTCCTCTCCTCAGGGGTACAACAGGTGGAGAAAAGGACATGAAAATCACCCCAAGAAAGTTCGAATTGTAGGGACACATCTCTGAAGCCCTCAGTAAATTTATTGGGATCTTCAGAGTATCGACCCAGCCTTTCCTTAACCTGGGTGAGGTCTGAAATGAAGAATGGAACATGCACCCTAAGTGTCCCATTAGGAGAGGCAGGTATTTCCCTTAAAGGAAGAAGCCCTGAAGGCCCTGTGGGGGCAGGGGCTTGCAGGGGAGGGAGGTAGGAAGTCCCACTTCTCCTGAGTGAGGGACTGGAAAGCGCCGGCTGAACTGGCAAGGCCGAGGAATCCAGTTGGCAAGGGGGAAGATTACCTGACACTGGAGGAGGGGGAGAGATCAGGGGAGAAGACGCCAAGGCGAGACCCTTGTCTGGAGCCTGAGGAGGGTTCCTGTGGGAAGTAGATGTCTGGGGAGGAGGCACTGAGTTGAGAACCTCCTCCAGAGCTTGAGCTGGGGTCTCTCTGGAAGTCGAGGCTGGGGCGAGGCCCTTGCTCAGGACCTCAGTAGGAGCAGCCTCTAGAGCAGGGGTCTGGGAAGGAAATGGAGGAGCCAGAGGAAAAGGGAAGGAAAACCAAGGGAAAGAGAGAATGGGCAAGGAGGTGGGGGCACAGGAAACAGGGGCGGGGAGGGGAGAATAGGGAAATGCAGGAGGGGTCAAGGGAGAATGGGGAGCAGAAGGAGGGGTCTGGGGAGAATGGGGAACAGCCGGAGAGGCCAGAGGAGAATGGGGTGGAGATAGGTGCTTGGGGAGGTTGGGAAGAGGGGGATGCCATAACCCTAGGACCCATGAGATGAGGATCATCCAAAAAGTCCATTTGATCCCCATTCCCCATTAGTGGGATTGCCCTGGCTACAAGCATCTTACAATCCTTTCTGAGAATGGCGTCTCTAGAAAGCTCAGCAAAAGCCAGTAAGAAATCTCCACCCATTTTCTTTCTCTGCGATAATATTTTTCTAACTCTGAGAGGGTCTTTACCCATAATGTCCCAAAAAGGGGCCGTGGCTCATAATTTTCCAGGTGATACTGAGGCCAAACGGTGTTGCAAAAAAAAAAAAGTCCTTTACAGAAGCTAAAATTTTTCCAATTTGGTAAAAGAAAGCCTAAAGGCGAATTCTCGGGAATTGAAGAGGACTGACCCACTGTGGGCTTAGGGGAAGGAAAAAAAGAAAAAAAATACCCAACAGTTTCCCAATTGCCTAGAGCCCAGAGAACTGAGAGGTTTGGACCTGCTTCCTGACCGGGAGTCCATCCTCTATGCTAAGGAAGGTATACCCAGGTCCAAGCGCTCAAACAGGGGCAATTGGACTGAGAGCCGGAGAGCGTCAGGCCTTGTAGCTGTCTGCCCTAGCAGGACCTGAGAGGTCAGGCCCAAAAACACTTCCAAGCCAAGCCTAGCTAGCTGCTTGGAAATACCCCTCCCAGCCACAAGACAACAAAGGAATTGGGGAGGAGGAGGCTTACCAGTCATGGCTGAAGAAGAGTTTGAGATTTGGCAGCTATTTCCCAGTGCAGGGAACCATATGAAGAGGTCTAGAGGTCTGTGGGGAGCTCCTGGGAACCCCTGAGATTGCAACGCTGGGCCCTGTCTGAATGAATTCAACTCAAATCTTCTTCCAGCCAGAGAAAAAGTTTATTAGTGATAAAACACATAGGCTAGGTGATGCCCATAAGGATGAGGGGGCATGAGAAAAGCTCAGCCTTTGGGGCATGAGAGATTCTCAGCATATTAGAGATACAGGCCAGACTCTTAAGGAATCTGAACATTAGTAAGGCCCGTGGGGAGGAGCGGGCATGAGAAAGTCTCAGCCTTTTGGGCCTGAGATTCTCAGTGTCTGAATGGGGGCCAGAGTGGATTTTTATATGTTAAAGTAACTTTGAGTGGCCAGAGGAGGGGGCTGGGAAAAGAGTCCAGGTGAGAATTCCTGAGATTGGAAGGTCTGAGAGATTGAATAGACAATGGGAATAGATAATGAAGGTAACTGGAAGGCAGAAGTTTGAAAGGCATCTGCACAAGATCAAAAGGCGGGGCTAGGGCTTTCAAAGGGAGATAAGAGGAGCCCATAAGGAACCCTTTGAGACCAGAGTAAGGGCTTTCTGGGGCCTGTGGACAAAAGGGAGCCAGAATCTTTTAAGTGTAAGGGGCGAAGGCTCATCAGAATAAGATCAAAAGGTCTAAGGCTTTCAAAGGGGGAACGAGGGGCTGGGGCCTGTAGACAAATGGGAGTCAGATTCCCTTTGGGTCCAGGGGCTACGATCTTGGCTTGGGCCCACCCTATCATTGAGACTATAACTAATTTTGTTTTGAGTTTCAGTTTGGGTATAGTTGTAGTAAGTCAGTATCTGAGAGAAATGCTACAAGCCACTCAGAGAGAATGTGATCCTGTACTGTTAACAGGTGGAGGTCTGCATCTGCGAAAAAGCTGTGAGGACAACTTTAGCCTCAATCTAGGCTGGGATCCTCCTAGCTCAGTTTCCCCATAGTGTTCCTTTGAGGATTGTTTCCCACCTGAGTATTCCTGAGTCTGGCTATGATATGGAATCGATACTGCATGATTGGAGAACTGTGACTCTTATCTGAATTCAAACAGAGCTAAGGATGTTCTATCTTGTCATATTTGGCATGTCAGATGTCCCTGCCTTTTTCTTTTATCGTAGATTTCTCTGGTCAGAGCAAGTGGTCAGTAAAAGACATGAGCACAATGTTCAGTATGTGAGATCTTGCTGTTTCGATCTGAATTTGTAGTCATCTCATAACCTAATTTACAAGTATAATTAGAGAAGGATAAAGAAGTTTGTGGAACAAGACTGTGAGTGGGATAGAGACCACCTACCCAAAATAAAATTCAGAGGTTTCTCCCGGTAGAAACAGAAGTTTGATTCCAGCATGTCTCCCTCGACAATTGGGCATCATCTACCCAGGGAGGACTGGAGTAGGGAGGCAGGATACAAGCAGCAAGCAAGCAGTTATATACTCCTAGGCAAACAAATTCCAAGAAAACCCCACCCTCCCACCTTTTAACCTGAATCTCTTTATCCCCATTGGTGGAGGTAAGAGACCTTACATTCTACCCAGAAACTAAGAGATACATTTTACCCAAACCAAGCTTGGGAGCTAGAAGAGTGCCTCATTTGGCAAAGATAAGGCTGGGGTGGTGGTTACAAAACAAGGGAGGGGGTGGGGGCAACAGGTGTACGACCTGATCACATGATTTACAGGAAAACTTGTCCCACACACAGCCAACCAGGCTTAGTTTCAGGATGGAGGCTGCCACAAAATGCAGTGAGCTGGGTTGTTAGCCCATTTCTCCTGCCTTCAATTAGAATGGGGCCCACTGAAAGTCAGATCCAGGAGGATAATTGGGATGTCTGACCCTGTGTGGGACAACTGAAAGTTTCTCATGTGAAATGGAAGCTATGCCCCAAAATTTAGTTAAGGCTTTACCGTTAGCTGGGCCTAAGTTTCGTTTTCCTATAAATCATGTGATCAGGTCGTATACCTGTTGCCCACCCCCTCCCTTGTTTTGTAACCACCACCCCAGCCTTATCTTTGCCAAATGAGGCACTCTTCTAGCTCCCAAGCTTGGTTTGGGTAAAATGTATCTCTTAGTTTCTGGGTAGAATGTAAGGTCTCTTACCTCAACCAATGAGGATAGAGAGATTGAGGCAAACAAGAGGGGGGGTGGTTCTTAGAGTTGTTTTGTCTAAGGGTATATAACTTCTTGCTTGCTGCTTGTATCCAGCCTCCCTAATCCAGTCCTCCCTGGGCAGGTGACGCCCTATTCTCGAGGGAGACTTGCTAGAATAAAACTTCTGTTCCTACTGTATGAGATAGGTGAAGAACTCACAGTCTGGGTATGTACTAATAGGTAACTGTTAGCTAGGTTAGCTGAAGCCTGGAGGCCTCAGTCATGTGATGTTAGATAAGGACTGGGCTGCACACCATTGTCCTAAAAAATGGAGGAACTATACCATTACCTCAGTCACCCCATTCCATTGTCTGAAATAAGGAAAGAAAAGTTTATTTAGCCAATCACAATGTATAGAAGGTGGAATTTTCAGGGTTCTTTGTCTAAAATGTATAAAAACTGCACACGCGCTCAGGGGAGCAGCCCTCCTGCTATGAGCATTTCTGTTGTCCTTTCGGCTCGCAGTGGGACTGCCCGCTTCTCATGAGATTCTAATAAATTTTCTGCACCCTACTTGGAGCTACTCCTGAGTAGTCAATTTGGGTAGGGGTCTTCGCCATCCCACACACTACCTAGAGAAGCCTCTGAATTTTATTTTGGGTAAGTGGTATCTATCCCACTCAGCTGTGAATCGCTTGCTAGAAATCTCCAGGCTGCCTCTTCCTTGCTCCCCCCTCTCTACCCAGAAAGTCTCCCATCTTTCCTCCAATAAGAAAGTAGGTGGCTGAGTGACGGGGGGGGGGGGGGGGGGGGGGGGGGGGGGGAGCTGTCACAGATAACCAGCCTGAAGCTGCTGGCCCTGAGTGTGATTGGAGGAAAGGGCCCTTCCTGGAGGCCTCAGAGGCTTGGGCGGACCCTCCCAGAGTGGGCTGGCTGAAGACAGGAACTTGTGCTCAGAGGGCTCTGCCTTCTTCCCTTACAGCTCTACTATTTCTTGCTTCCCCAGAAGCTGAGACCTGTCTTCTTTCCCATGTGCTGAGATCTCTCTGCCTTCTTTCTGGGAGCTGAGATCTCTCTGCCTTCTTCCCCAGGAGCTGAGATCTCTCTGCCTTCTGGAAGCCAGCTCTACACGTGCAGGTCTCAGGTAGGTCTGAGCCAGCCCCTCACATCCTAATCCCCACCTCCCGGCTTCTGCTGGCTGCTTTCCCCATTAGGTCTTATCATCCTCATCTGACCATGTGGTGAGTGTCTTCAAGGTCTACCTAGAGCAATCTTCCCTGGCTACAGGACAAGCTTCCTGTGCCTGACTCTTTCCAGACTCCCAATCACTTCCCAAATGCCCAGGGTCACCCTACCCAGATTTACCATTGGGTCACCTTTTCCCAAAATTCAGACTTTACTCCATAGAGACCAAGGAATTCTGCTTTTCATCTTCCCATCAGGACCCAAATTTCCTATCTCCATGCCCCCAGCCTTTGGTTAGATATTGAGATATTCTGCCTTCAGGCCAAGCTCCCTGTAAGGGCCAGGTCTCCCATGAGGGATTCCAAGCCTAAGCTCTACCAGAGGGTCCCAGGAGTCCTCCTCAGCTCCTAGTTAGACCTCAGCACACAGCCATCCTGCTTTCCCAGGCTCAGTGTCCACCTGGAGCCCTTCTGTCTCTCCAGTGTCCCTGACCTCCCTGCCATGAGCTGGGTTAGAATGTCTCCCTTCCAGCCCCTACCTGTGCTTCCCTTCCCCAGGCCTCCTGCTTTCCTGCCCCCTCTTCTTTCAGAGTCCTCAGGCCCCTGCCAGGGGGCTGAATCCCAGACCGGATTTTTCTCTGAGCCTTAGGTTACCTGGTTATCCCTGCTGGCTCCTTCCCAGAGCCCTCCCATCCCCAACCTTCCCTCCCTCCTAGGTCAAGCTGTCAGTCTGTTGTGTAGATAATGTGTGTGTGTGTGTGTGTGTGTGTGTGTGTGTGTTAGTTGGGGAGAGGGGGAGGCAGGGAGGGCAGAGGACCAGTTGTAGAGAGAGCTCTGATTCAGGAGTCATTGAGGTTCTGCCTGGTCTCATCCCATCAGGAACCTCAAGCCCCTTCTGCCTTTTTGGTTTTCTGAAGGGGGATAGGGGAGAGAATGGGGGCAGAAAGAAGGAGTAGGAGAGGGAAGTAGCCTTCCTGTTTAAACCATCTTCATTTCCAGGCCTGACCCTGCCTGCTTTCTCCCTCCCTGTGTAGGTTGGGGTTTCTGTCCTGAGGGCAGGGCAGGGTCTTTGTAACACCTGTAGGACTTCACCCTCTGTAAATCCCAGTAGACCAGCCTGCTGCCCAGGAAGATAAGGGAAGGACCTCTGCCCCTCTGGGATCCTTCCACCTCCCCAGCTCAGTCTGCAGAGGACCAAGGCCTGACCCAGCAGGGAGCCTGGAGCCAGAGGGAATGGTCCCTGGGAGCCACAGACCCCCAGCCCAGGTGAGTGCACTCCAACTGAAGAAAGAGGCATAAAGAAGGAAACACTCGGTTCTTGTCAAAGAGGCATCAGAATCAAAGGCAAAGAATTATGACAGACACAATGAGTGACTTACTTTCTCCTCAAAATCCACTTTTGACCATTTCCACAACAACCCTATGTGGTTGGTGTCCTTGTTATCTTTATTTCGCAGTTCAGGAAACTGAGGCAAACAGAGGTTCAGTGACTTACCAACCAGGGTCATACATCTTGTTAGTGTCTGAGGCTGGATCTGACCTCAGATCTTCATGATCTTCTACCATTTCCTAGCTCCATCAGCATGGTATTAGTGTGCCCATCTTCCCACAACCCCTCCAACATTGACTGGTGCCATTTTTTGGTCATTTTTGTCAATTTTGCTGAGTATGACATGAAGCCTCAGTGTTTTGGTTTACGTTTCTCTTATTAATGGTTTGCAGCATTTTCTCATGTGGTTGGGAATGCTTGGCAGTTCTTTTGAGAATTCTTTGTTCCTATCCTTTGACCATTTATCTGTTGGGGAATGGCTGTTAGTCTTCTGTTTATTAACTGTTTATAGATCTTAGACACCAAATGCTTATCACAGAAATTTCATACCAAGGTTTTTGTTTATGTTTTCTATTCAAACACTTTCTTATCCTGGCTGCATAATGTTGTCTGTGCCAAAGAAGCTTTTCAGTTTCATATAATCAAATTTTGTATTTTATTTTTGTAATTCCTTCTGTCTCTTGTTGGGCGAAGTATACATGTCTCACCTGTACCTGTGAAAGTTACATGATCTATTTCTCTCCTGATATTTTAGAGTATAATCTTTAATATTAAGGTCATACATGCATATAGAAGGAGCAGCTATGTGGCACAGGGCATAGAGGCCCAGGCCTGGAGGCAGGAGGACCTAAGTTCAAATTGGGCCTCAGACATTTACTAGCTGTATGACCCTGGGCAAGTCACTTAACCCTGTTTGCCTCAGTTCCTCCTCTGTAAAATGAGCTGGAGAAGGAAACTGCAGAGTACTCCAGTGTGTTTGTCAGGAAAACCCCAAATGGGATTCCAGAAACCAGGACGTGACTGAAACAACTGAAGAAGCACAGTGACATCCCTATGGATGCATTGCAGAGCATGGCGGAAGGTGTTGGTCTGAGCCTCATCTCCTCCCTGACGTCTTTCTAGTTTCTCGGCAGTTTTGTTTTTTTTAATCACATAACTCATTCTCATACTGACAGAATTTCACACCATCTTCTCTCTTTCTCCTGCAGACATCCTTCCACCTCATAGGTAAAACATGCACTTTGTCCTAGGTTCTGTAGAGGCACATTCCATAGTGTCAACTTTATTCCAACTCGCCGTTATCAAATGCTTTTCTCAATATTCCCTTGGGCTCTTTGTGGTGATGGTTTGAAGTGTTGACTCTGACATTCCTCTAGGGTACCACCTTTGGGTAAACCCTCTTCATATGCTTCAGTTTCCTTCTCTCACTTGATGAGGGTTAGACTACAGGAATCCCAGAGTCTCTTTCAGCTCTAAATCTTGTGACTTTTGATGGTTTAGGAGCTGGTGACATTCCGGGATGTGGCTGTGGACTTCACCCCAGAGGAGTGGGGCTTCTTGGACCATCCTCAGAAGGAGTTGTACAAGAACGTCATGCTGGAGAATGCCCAGAACCTGCTCTCCCTAGGTAAGGACACTTCCCCTGGCCACTCTGAGTCTGCAATACAAGAGAATATCTTCATTCCTGAGTGGGCTGGGTTTGCAACATTTATCAGTTACTGGAAGAGAAAAATGCTGGTCTCCTGTGTCCAAGAGACAGGGTCCCCTGTTGCCTGGTTTTCTTATAAAAGGTCAGTACACTGTGTGAAAAGAACCTGCAGGTTTCCTGGTTGCTCCTGAAGCTGTCTATGGAAACTGGTCCGGTGACTTTTCCTTGTGACCCCTTTCTCTTTGGGATGGCCAAGTTTTTAGGATATTCTTCTGTTTGAGATGCCTCAATTTATAGCTCACAGCTCCTGCATGTGCTTGGTATGGCAGGTTTGTCCTGAATCTTCCACTGAAGTGCCCCCATTCCAGCAGAGATGGTGGGAATAACCCTTTCTATTCACCTGGTGTTCACCAGCTGTGGTGCTAAGTGCTTTCTTTACAATAGTATGTTATTAGGTGATGTTATTATCCCCCTTTGATATTTGAGTAAACTGAAACAAACAGAGGTTAAGTGACTTTTCCAGAGACACATAGCTAGCAACTGCCTGAGGCTGGATTTAAACCCTGGCATCCCTGACTCCAGGCCCAGGGCTCTCTCCACTGCTGCCAGCTGCCTCTACTTTCCAGATAATCATAACTATGCACTGAGTCCATCCTTCTATGAAGAAGGTACACCAGGACCCAATTTTCTGATTCCTAATTGGCTCCATGATCTTTTCCTCTACCTCTCCCCAAAGCTCCCAAAAATAAGTGCTGTGGTATCCTTGCTCAAGGAGTCCTGGGAACCATTCTGTGGTTCTTGTTTGCAAGCCCCTATCAATGCCGGGAATAACAGACTGGCCAAGAATCAGAATTTGGACTAAGTAAGGTTCATTGAGCTCCCCAGAAGGAGAATCTCAACAGAAGAGGCAAAAATTCCCTGAATGAACAGTAATAAGGTATTTATAGGTTTCAGGGAGTGAGGAGCAGGGTAGGGGACAGGGCCAAAGCTGGTTCATCAAAGTCCCTTTTGCGGGAGCTCAAGGCTGATCTGGCACATCCTATTCTGGGTTACTGGCATTGCAAGCATTACTGAGAGAATAATTCAGATATGTGTGAACATGATGGAGCGATTCTCAGAATTCAGTAGCTTTATATGTACACTGTTTTCCCTAAAGAAAAATAAATTACAAGTTCATTCCCATGCCCAGGGCTGCCAGTTCCCAGAGAAGATTTGATCTCTTATTTGGAGGAAAGGGAAGCACCATGGCTGCTGGAGCAAGAAGACCTGAGGAGCTGCTGTCCAGGTGAGTGAGGTGAAGCAGGTAGATGAGAGTTGTGATTCCAAGAGGCTTCTAGGTGTGGTGGTGAAGCAAGTGCTAGGTTTAGGGGCAAGAAGACTGACTTGGAATTCTTTTTTAGACACTTTTTAGCAGTGGGATCCTGGACAAGTTACTGAACCACTGAACCTCATTTTCCCCATCTGTATAATGAGGGACTTGGACGCCACTGCCCTTAAGTTCTCTTCCAGTGATAAATCTGTGATTCTATAAAAAGTCATTATTTGGAATTTGGAGGCAGGAACTCCCCTGAGTGCAAAAAGAGGTCAGATTTTTCCAATATGGGTTCTTTCTTAGACTTTCTTCAAGTCAATGAACAATTATTAAGTGTCTGCTATGTGCCAGACCCTCTGGTAACTATCAGGGACCTAAAGAGATACAAGGAACATCCCCTGCTCTCCTGCAACTCACAGACTTGGGGGGCCGACAACATGCTGACCACAATGGAGAACCCTGTTATGGACAGGACAAATTGGAGCTCATTGAGAGGGAAGTCCCTACAGTGAAGGAGGACTGGAAAGGCTTATTGTGGAAGGGGGGCTCCAGCTGGGGCTTCAGGGAAGCCAGGGTGAACATTCTAGGCACAGGAATGGTGAGGAAAGCCTGTGGAGTCAGGTGATGGAGAAGGGAGGCTAATAGCATTGCATTATAGCATGCTTGGTGGGGATATAAGGTGAATGAAAACTAGAAGAGTAGGAGAAGGGTAGATAAAGAAGTATCAGGTGATTAAGAGCCCTAGAGGGGATTTTACATTTGATCCTTTTCTTAGGGAGCCATAGCAGGGTGTTGAGAACATGGTGACATGGTCAGTCAAAACTTTAGGAAGATGAATTTTGACAAGTGGGTGGAGGAATGACTGGAGTGGGGAGAGACTTGAGGGAGCTGGGCCAAGCAGCAGGTTCTGGCAATACCTCAGGTGTGAGGTGATTGGAGCCTCAACCAAGACAGTGGCAGTGCTGGGAGAGATGGGGGTGAATGGGAGAGATGTTACCTCGGTGGAATCACAGGACTTTGCAGCAGATTGAATATGGGGGTCAGGAGTGTGACTGAGTAAGAGTCAGTGAGGGGTGCATGACACTTGACTTATCTGCCTGCACTATTGGAAGGATGCTTTGGAGAACCTTAGGGAAGTAGGAAGAAGAGAGGGCTGTGGGAAAAAGAATGAGTTTGGTTTGGATAGAGTAGGAGAACCAGGAGAGGAGTGTCACTAAAACCCAGAGGCAGGGAGTGGGGTGATTGACTGTGGAAGGCCCCAGAGAAGTCAAGAAGGATGAGGATGAAGAAATGTCCAGGAGATTAAGCCTCTTTGAGATTTTTGGTCATTTTGGAGAAAGGAGTTTCCATTGAACAATGACATTGGGAGCTAGACTGCAGAGAATTTCAGAGAAAGCAGAGTTAAGGAGTTGGAGACACCAGTTCCAATTGGGTGTCTCCAGTTGCTTATCTAAGAAATGGAAGAGTATTGGAAAATATCTCTTGGGTTGAATGGATCCAGTGACCGTTTTTGAGGATTAGAAAGAAACTGCTTTATTTGTGGCCGTTGGGAAGGAGTCATTAGTGCAGGAGACACTGAAAAGTAGTGAAAGAGGCAGAATATTGAGGAAGATGACCTGCTGGAATGGAATGATTTACACTTGGAAAAGAGTTTGCTTTACCTAGCAAAGGAGGACCATTCAATCTGATACTGAGGTCAAAAAGGAAAACAAAGGCACCAGATTTATGGGAGATGAGCCTGATAAGATAGCTCTTGATAACTATACAATTTTTAGGTGAAAAATTTCTGCGAAGTTGAGTGGGGGAGGACAGTGGGAGCAAGCAATAAGGGACAGTTGACAAAGGATGAAAAGAATTGGAAAATCTGCTGTGGTGAATGAAATGAGGAGTCAATTATGTTGTTGTTCAGTCATTTCAGCAGCTTCTGACTCTTCATGACCCCACTTAGGTTTTTTTTTTTGGCAAAGACTAGACTGGTTTGCCATTTGCTTTTCAGTCTCATTTTACAGATGACGAAATCAAGGCCAACAGGCCCAAGTGACATGCCTAGGGCCACACAGCTAGTAAGTGTCTGAGGCTGGATTTGAACTCTAGTCTTCCTGACCAGTTCTCTATCAACTGTACCACCTAGCTGCCCCAAGCGAGTCATTTAGGGAGACGTCAAAGGACAGCCTTACTACAGTGAGGGCCATACTGAGATTGTGTATGCTAAATGTCTAGCGGACTGAGGCAGCCTGGGTTTATGATTTTCTCCCTCTCCATTCAGCAGCATCTAAGTAGTGGCAAAGGCTGTGGCCTTAGAATTACTCCAAGGCTATGCTTTACATAAACCAGCAACCTGTGTCCCTCCCCTGATTTCTGAGGCTCAGCCTTTGGCCCATTCTTGGATAATCGTTGGTCAGATTCATTGAGTTGACAGCCACTCTCAGTCTGGGGAAAAGTTAGGTAGAAACTCCCAGGTGTTCCATAGTGTGACATGCTTCAGGAGCCTAGAAAGAACTGTTTGTGGTCTTCACTGTGGATCTGGTCAGGTTCCATGGTTAGAACTAGACAAAGGCCACTCAACAGTGGAGATAACAGGGCTGAGGCCAGAACCTGCACTGGCCAACTAAGACAGAGACCAGAATACAGGGAGTGAGGTACAGCCTGGGGCCTGGTGTCAGCCCTGGGCCCAGTCATCTGTCAGTAAGCATGGATGAAGCACCTCCAGTTTTCTACACACCACACTAAACCTTAGGAAGGGGAAAAGCCAGTCTCTCCTGCCGAGGAGCTGCCAACATGGCCTACAAACATGGAGGTGTTTGAGAAGAAGCAACAGATCAGGGACTTCACTCTTAGCTGATCCAGGGAAAAGAGAGTTGTTTGGGAATGGAGAGACATGTAGTTCAATGGGATAAGAAGGAACTCAAAGAGTGAGGCTAATAATGGTTTAAGGAGGAGAGTGGAATTGGAGAGGAAAGATTCAAAGTCAAAACAAGAATGAGAAGAATGTCAGGCACACCTCAGAGACAGTGTGGGTTCTGTTCCAGAGCACCACAGTAAAGTGAACATTCCAGTCAAGTGAGTCACCTGAATTGTTGGTTTCTCAGTGTATATGAAAGTCATGTTTATAATATGCTGTTGTCTGTTACCTGTCCAGTACAATGTTATTTGTGTAAAAATGTACATATTTTAATCTTCTCTGTCATCTGAGCCTTCGGTGATTCTTCCTCTTGCTGCTGGCGGCCCACTGTGGTGGCTGCTGACTGATCAAGGGGCTGGTTGCTCAAGGCTGGCAGTGGCTGTGGCAGTTTCTTACGATAAGGCGATGGTGAAGTTTGCCACGTTGATTGACTCTGCTCTTGACTTGAACATTTAAAGCCCCCTTGCAGGATTGTTAATTGGCCTAATTTGAATACTGTTGTGTCTCAGGGAATAGGAAGATCCAAAGAGAGGGATAGAACCAGTCAATTTGCAAAAACAAAATATTTTTTCATAAAAAGAGACAAAACAAAAGTAAGTGCAATGGAGAAGGGTCGTCTAGTTGAGGGAGAGCTCACATACCGACTGGGAGGACTGGAGTTCTAGTCTCAGCTGCAGGGATGTGGGGCAGGTCACTCAGCCATTCTGAGCTCATGGCCTGAGTTGAGAATGAAATAAGAATGCTTGTTCTGCTGGTGTCACAGGGGTTTGTGAGGATCACATGTGATTGTGTGTGAAGCTCTTTGTAAGATGTAAGATAATGGCATTAAAATTTTTTTTTAATTAATTTATTTTGAATTATCAACAATCGCTTCCATAAGCTTTTGAGTTTTAAATTTTTCTCCCCTGTCTTCCCCACCTCCCTTCCCATGACGGTGCACAATCTGACATAGGCTCTACGTTTACATTCCTATTAAACATATTTTCACATTAGTTATGTTGTAGGTAAGAATTAGAACCACTAGGAGGAACCACCAGAAAGAGGAAACGAAACACAAGAAGATAATGGCATTTTCTTTTTTTTAGGAAATTGAGGCTAAGTGACTTGCCTAGGGTCACACAGCTAGTAAGTGTCAAGTGTTTGGTCAGAGCCGGATTTGAACTCACTCCTCCTGACTTCAGGGCCAGTGCTCTATGTACTGTGCCACCTAGCTGCTCTGAGATAATGGCATTTTCAAATGATTGGTTCTGTCCATTGAACTTTGAAGAGTTTTCTCTTAGCCTGGAGAAGTAGGATGTAGATGCATTAGTTTACTTTCTGGCAATGGAGGGAAGGGATTATAATTATATATGTGTGTACGTGTGTCTCTCTATACATGTTTTATTGTTTATTTCTTGCAGAAGGAGAGATTAGACCTGAAATTAAAGAGACTACTGCAAAGCTAAGCATTTCTGTGAAAGAAACTCACAAGGAAAGTGTCATGAGGAATGGGCCCCGGTACTTCACTGGGACACAAATCTGTGCTGCCTTTCATAGAATCCACAGAGGAGAAAAACCTTATGATTGTGATCATTGTGAGATAGACTTGAGTCAACAGTCATCCCTTATTTACCATCAAAAAATTAATACTGGGGAGAAACCACATGAGTGTCATGAATGTGGTAAAGCTTTTAGTGAACGCTCCTCCTCCATTATATGTCAGAGAATTCATAGTGACCGGAAACCTTATGAATGTGATCAATGTGGAAAGGCTTTCAGATGCAGCTCCATTCTTGCTGACCATCATAGAAGCCACACTGGAGAAAAACTTTATGAATGTAATCAATGTAGAAAGACTTTTAGTTGCAGATATAGTCTTCTTGTACATGAGAGAAACCACACTGGAGAGAAGCGTTATGAATGTGATCAATGTGGAAGGGCTTTCAGACTGAACTACAAACTTATTCAACATCAGAGAATCCACACTGGAGAGAAGCCTCATAAATGTGATCAATGTGGAAAGGCTTTTAGTTGCAGATATAGTCTTCTTATACATAAGAGAAACCACACTGGAGAAAAGCGTTATGAATGTGATCAATGTGGAAAGGCTTTTAGAAGAAACTGTGATCTTGTTGTACATCAGAGAGTCCACACTGGAGAGAAGCCTTATAGATGTGATCAATGTGAAAAGTCTTTCAGTTTCAGCTCCAGTCTTGCTACACATCAGAGAATCCATACTGGAGAGAAGCCTCATAAATGTGATCAATGTGGAAAGGCTTTTAGTTGCAGATATAGTCTTCTTATACATAAGAGAAACCACACTGGAGAAAAGCGTTATGAATGTGATCAATGTGGAAGGGCTTTCAGACTGAACTACAAACTTATTCAACATCAGAGAATCCACACTGGAGAGAAGCCTTATGGATGTAATCAATGTGGAAAGGCTTTCAGTTGCAGCTCGCATCTTTCATCACATCAGAGAATCCACACTGGAGAGAAACCTTATAAATGTGATCAATGTGAAAAGTCTTTCAGTTTCAGCTCCAGTCTTGCTACACATCAGAGAATCCATACTGGAGAGAAGCCTTATGGATGTAATCAATGTGGAAAGAATTTCAGATGCAGCTACAGTCTTTCTTCACATCAGAGAATCCATACTAGAGAGAAACCTTATAAATGTAATTAATGTGAAAAGGATTTCCCACAGAACTTAAATTTTGCTCAATATCAGAGAAGGAGAAGAAAATATCAGAGGATATCATGGAGAAAATATAATTAATTCTCACAATAACATCTGCATGGGATGAAATCACTTGTAAAAACAGGAGGATAGCTGGAAGCATTAGAAAACAGAATTCACCGTGTTATGTAAAAGAAACACACTTGACACAAAGATTCACACAGCCTTCAAATGGAAGGATCACATTCTGTAATACCTTTGGAACTTGGCCCCTAAACTCATTCCACTGGATGGCCTTTCACCCCATGATATGCACTAGATTTATGAACTAAACAGTTAAATGACTAATATACACAACATGAAATTACAGTGGAGGTTGTTGTTGCTGCAAAGCTCTAGAAACAAAGGTGGTGCCTGTACATTGGGAAATGACTGAAATAATGATGTCTAAGAATATAACGGAAGATTATGGAGCCATAAGAAATGATGAAAGGCACTGCATCAGAGAAGCGGGAGGGAGTTGTCTGAACTGATGCAGAGAGAAGTGAGCAGAACCAGAAGAGATTATAGTATAGCAACACTGATTCATACCATGAACAACCATGACTCCAGAGCAGGCATTCCCCAAATGTCCTGTTCTTAGAACTCCTTTCAAGAACAAAAATAAAGTGTTCATGAAGCCCCATACTCATTTAATCTACTACTCACAATACTCTTTTAAATTTTGTGGTAAATACTAATGAGAATGACCAAGATAACTTTTGTCCCCAAAGCTCCAAAATCATAATTTCAATCCATTGTAAAATTGTAAAATATAAACTAATAAAAATTTAATATCAGACTTTCTGGAAGAGTTTTTTAATTGAATTGAACTTCATATTTACTATTTCCTGCAAAACTTCAATGTAAATTTATTCTTGTTACAGTTTTTGTTGAATAAAAATAATATTTTAATAAATAAGTTATAACTTAGGAGGTGTTGACCATAATGCCATATATGAAATTAATTCAAAATTGGACTTTTTTCTCTGAAGAAAGGTTTGCAGTATTTGGTTCAACACTTGAGAAATGCCATCTTTGATTTTGTTCTGCATCAAGTCGATTCAATAAGAATGATACTAACAGCCAAACAGTAATAATTAACATATAGTGCCTGTTATTTGCTAGTTACTGGGCTAAGTGATTTATACACATTAACTCATTTCATCTTCACAACAGTGCTTAAAGGTAGGTACTGTCATCTCCATTTTACAACAAAGGAAACAGAGTGAGGTAGAGAGGTGGTGACTTCCAGAGTGTTGGTAAGTGTCTGAAGAGGAATTTGAACTTAGATCTTGCTGACTGGTAAGTCCAACTATATCTGTGCAGTGCATTACCAGCCGTATTTTGATTTGTAACCAGTATAGAGTGAAAATGCTCCCTCCTACCTGAAGGTGATAGGAAGATTTATAGAATCTGTTCATTTTTTCTTTTTAGCCCCCAAACCAGGCAACAAAATGGATGCCTGGTTGATACATAAAAGACGTGTTTTTCTTTTGACAAATAACAAATCGTGTATTAAGTAGATAAAACAACATTTGTAAGGAAAGACCTCTACTTACCTCCCTTTCTTTCTACCACACTGATGACTCTCTTACAGAAAGTGTGGAATGAGTGACCTGTGTTTCCATCCAGTTCCCTTGCAAATCCACTAGATAGAGGAAGGGTAACATAAACAGAAGATAAGTTCAAATCAGAAAGTAGCTGCAATGAGTGACCATGAAAGGTCTGTTGTTATAGAATGTTTTTGGTGGTCCACAATCATTTTAAGGTGGTTTATAATGTGTATGCCTCATGACCATATTTTTCAAAAAGCCTGCCACCTGTGCTAGAAGAATGCAAATATTTTTAAAATCTTGATTTATTGATTACAGTGCTGATGATATGAGATTACAAGGTAACCTTGGAATGAGGCCATTACTTTGGTGGAGTGCATAGAAAGTAAATGGGGATATGTGCATACCTGGATCCATCCATGGGGAATGTTTGCATTTGCATGTCAAACCTTTCTGGCAGTTTGGAAACAATTTGACCTCAGGTTGAGAAACCACAGAATTTGTTGCACTTAGGAGTGGTCAGAGTTTCGTGTGAGCGCTGCATGAAAACTAAAATCACTCTATGCCTGATAAGGACTCTTTGGAATCAGTGAAGATAAGTTTTTAAAAATAAATGGGTAATGGCTGTCCTAAAGAAGTGATGGGCCAAAATAGTACCTATTATACCTCAGGGTAACAGGAAAAAATGTTTGATAGTCATGTTGTAGTCTCAGACATGGCAACAGAAAAAAAAATAAGGTCAAAAGAGTTCTCCAGGGAAATTACTGTGCTTAATGATTTAATAGATGATGAAATAATGGGAATATTTACAACATTGTAGCATAACTCCTCACATCCCCACCCTCTCTGTGGGGAAAGGATGGAGAAGAGAGACTGCATAGGGGGATAATGGAGAGAGTTTATAACAGCTATCAATAGAATAGCAAAGCCCAGTGGTGGTTTGTGATGGACAGGAAACCTATATTTGTGGCTTTCCATACAGCTCTTGGAACTAGTGCTAAAGGCAGCTCACAATTCCCAACATAAATCCCCTTTTAGTCCTTTCTGAATTCTCATTACATCAGAGCTTTTAATAGATTCTTGGTAATATCTTGTTGCTCAAGCTGAGACTTTGTGTCTTTAAACTCTCAGGCAAAGGGGAATTGCCCAGGCAGGGTTAGGGGAAATTTATCATTGGACATTTCCCTGATAATACTGTCCCTATCTGCACTCCCATAGCTTCATGGAATTTCCCAGAGCCCCTTCCTTGAGGTGGACACAGCACACGACCATACCCAATGAGCTTCCAAAGAGCCATAAAAGAACTGAGCGAAATGAAGACCCTGGAGTGAAACCACAGGCAAACTTTCCTATTCCTTCAACAGTCATCTATTGGCAATGGCTCCTAGTACACTTGGGTGTCATTTCTCTCCATATCTTGGATATAAATTGCTTTCTCTGGTCATTTTTCTTGTAATATTTGGTATATTCTGCAATGTACAATTTCTAGTTAGACTTTCCTTCATTTTATTCAAACATTTAAATTTTACATAGCAAGTTTTTTTAAAAAAATACATCATTCTAATTCAGATTAAGAATTGCTTTTTTAAAATTTTATTTATTTTGATTTATCAATAATCACTTCCACATGTTTGGCTTTTTTTTTTTTTGCTTTTTTGGTGAGGCATTTGGGATTAAGTGACTTGCCCAGGATCATACAGCTAGGAAGCATCAATTTTCTGAGGCTGGATTTGAACTCAGGTCCTTCTGACTCCAAGGCCAGAGCTCTATCTACTGTGCCACCTAGGTGCCCCTATCTCTGGAGGTAGATAGCATTTCTCTCTTTTTTTTTTCAAACTTTTTTTCTTTCTTTTTCTTTTCTTTTTTTGTTTTTTAAGGCAATTGGGGTTAAGTGACTTGCCAGGGTCACACAGCTAGTAAGTGTCTAGTGTTTGGCCTGAGGCCGAATTTGAACTCAGGTCCTCCTGGCTTCAGGGCCAGTGCTCCATCCACTGTGCCACCTAGATGCGCCATCCATATGCTTTTGAGTTTAAAATTTTTCTCCCCCTTCCTCCCCACCACCCTCCCCAAGATGGCGCACAATCTGACATAGGTTATCCATTTACATTCCTATTTAATATTTTCACATTACTGGTGTTGTAAGTAAAAATTAAAACCAGTAAGAGGAACCATCAGAAAGAGGAAACAAAACTCGACAGAAGAAAAAAAAACAGCAATTCAACTTTCATAGTTCTTTCTTTGGATGTGGATAGCATTTTCCATCACGAGGCCTCTGGAGATGTCTTAGATCCTTGTATTGCTGGGAAGGGTTAAGTTTATCAATATTAGTCATCGCACAATGTGCTGTTATTGTGTACACTGTTGTCTTGGTTCTGCTCACTTCACTCAGCATCAGACCATATAAGTCTTTCCAGGTTTTTCTCAAGTCAGCTTGTTCATCATTTCTTATAGCACAATAGTATTCCACTACATTCATGTACCACAACTTGCTCAGCCATTCCCAAATTGATGTGCATCTTCTCAATTTCCAATTCTTTGCCACCACAAAAAGAGCTGCTATGAATATTTTTGTACATGTGGGTCCTTTTCCCATTTGTATGATCTCTTTGGGACATAGCCCTAGAAGTGCTTTTGCCGGGTCAAAGGGTATGCACAGTTTTATGGCCCTTTGGGCATAGTTCCAAATTGTTCTCCAAAATGGTTGAATCATTTCACAACTCCACCAACAATGCCTTAGTGTTCCAATTTTCCCACATGTTCTCCAACATGGATCATTTTCCTATTTTGTCATGCTGGCCAATGAGATTAAGAATTCTTATGATCACGGTTGTGAAAAGTACTGCACATGTTTCCTTTTGTTTTTTCTTAAAATTTTTAAAAAATAAGCAAACATTCTCTACCCTCCAGCCATCTCAAATTGAGAAAGGAAAATAAAGCCTGCATTACAAACATGTATAATCAAGAACAACATTCCTGCATTGTCCATATCTCCCCCCACTCTGCACTCTGAGTTCTTCATCTTTTCTCAGGAGTCGATATCATATTCCATCATTTATTCTCTGGAGTTGTGGTTTTTTATTGTGTTCATTGGAATCCTTAAGTCAGAGATTTTTTTTGTTTCTTTTTTAAACCATATTTTAATTACTGTATAAACTGGTCTGCTCATTATGCATTGTATCAGTTTACACAAGTCTTCCCAGTTTTCCCTGAAACCATTCTCTAAATATTTTGTTAAAACACTTATGTGCCATCACATTCAGGTTCCCTCACTTGGGCCATTTCCCCATTGATGGGCATGTCCTCAAGGTCTAATTCCTCCCACTGTGAAAAAGATAGAAATGTTCTTGTAGATTGTTGAATTAAATTGTCCCTTAATCTACCCTCCCTCTTACCTTTCCCTCTATCTTCTCCCTCCTGTTTCTCTGCTTAGTCAGATGTA